ATTCTTGAATTTTTTCAATATTTTTCCATTATGCACAATATGCAAAATTCAAGGGATATTTCATTATACCTAAGTGTAGCAATTGCAATTACGATGCAAATCAAGATCTGATAACCGGTGCCGTTTGCTCGTATTGCTGCAGTTCAAAAAACGGCGACAGTGTTACTATGACGGGCTGTATTGTTGCCACTTTTTATTATCAGTTACGTAAGTGGTATTAAGTTGATCGAATTTCGCGCGGGTCAAGATCATGAATAAGTCGCTTATATATACTTCTATTTTGGTCGATTAATTATTTTCTTGTTGGGTATACAATGGGATCGTATCTATGTCGTCGTGACATCGTCTACTACATTACTTTTTGGCTGAACTTTTCTACGTTGTTATCGGTGATTTTTGGAATGTATTATGATAAGGTAGATAACAAGTTAATAGCAAATAATTCTCCTTGTATTTCAATGCCTACGTTATTTGACAAAAATGCGTATTTAATTATTAACATGTTGAATGCCGTGATGGTGACATGATGATTGTCGCTATGATACCGTTATGGTTTCATTAAATTATATAGAAAGTATATTTAATTGCATCCATATGAAATTGTTTGAATAGACATATAAAAAATCAATTAAACAAGATAAATAATACGCGTATCTCGAATTACGTTGGTTTATCGTATCTTTAGTAATTTAACTGTCAGTTAGGCTTTTCTACAACTAATAAAAATCAGCGCGACTGACATATTATAGGTTACGTTTCTTTAATAATAATAATAATTCTTTATGGACGAGCTCTAATTATCTTTCTACTGTACATTATGTCGACGTATCAGAAATTTTGAAGATGCCTGAATAAGCTTGATATCGTGGATGACACATTCGAGAAACTCGGAATAACTGTTGATTACCACAAGTTGTACAGGAGAGTATTGTTGCTAGTCATTGTACTGGCAATATACATTTTATGGATAACGTATGCCAATGCGGTATGGCACATAGGCAACAACAATTATAACACCATCAAATCTGTGTACATTTTATTTATGATGAAATATCCTAGTTACATTAATCTCATCGACGATATGATCATTACGAGTACCCTTGGGTTAGTATAAACTTATGAAAATATTATTTTAATAATTGAACTCTATTATCACGCTGACAATAATGAAACCATCTTAATAATTTAAAAAGTTTCAATTTAATGCACCATCACTATTAAATGGTAGCAGCCATTATTTACTTGTGTTTGCATTTAGATACATTGACCTAAAATTTGACCAAATTAACCAATATCTTCGAAAAATGGAAAGTGTCGATGGGTATGCAGTAAAATGGACTTCAGAACATACAAAGTTATTTAGACAAACGGAACATCATGAAACAAGAAGAAGAAAATATGTCACATGGATCGTAATGTATTATAAACGTTCATGTAAATATTCATAAAGCGTACACTGACACCGCGCAGTGTAACTTACAATTACGTTGTTCTAGACATCTTCAATTGGAATTACGTAAGATATCTCGTGAATTGAACTCAGTATTCGAACTACAAATGACTATCAAAATGGAAAGTTATTTCGCTTTTATAGCGTTATCATTTTGTGGAATTTTTGATATTTTGTTCGTACATAAATACAACGATGTTAGTAGAATATATATTATATTAATTGCACCCTTCGTCTGCATTAACATCTTTAGACTCTTTATTATTAATTATGTGTGCGAAAAAGTCAGCATCAAGGTACAAACTATATATTCACACTCCGAATATATACATGTTTAGCAAAAAATTTCTTATCTAAAGGAATATATTGTAGTTTAGTTTAACGATATTCTCTTTCTACACGTTATTACGAAAATTTCAATTTTAGGCGAACGCAGTAAGAAATATTACATGCAGAATAGCACTCATGATGTTGTAATACGCGAAAACATAAGTTATTTCATTGTTGTGCTAAAATAATTTTGTGATAAGTAATAAAACGTCGTGTTAATGCAGATTTCGCAATTTCTACTACAAATGAGCTTGATTCCCGTTAAATTCTTCGGCTTGGGTTTTTTCAGTTTGGCTTAAAATTCTTTCACGGAGTAAGTTGTAATTATGATATAATTATTCACCTTACACGATGAATGCATTCAAACAATGAAATTGTTCTTCCACAGTTCGCTACAAACGGCTCTGTTACCAGCTCTGTTACAACCGTTATAGTCATAGTGGTTCAGTCAAACATATAATGTAATATTAAATGTAAAAAATACAGAAAAAATGTAAAAATTGAAAAAATGTAAGTATTGAAAAAATTACGACAGTAACAAATAACATTAAGCATTTTTAAAAATTGATATCAATTATTTATTACAAAAAGTTCGGCCCTGTAAACAACTAATACTTTCAACTGTATTAAATTGATGATTTTATCTCGCTTTAGATTTCTGAACAGCTTTCTAACGATTACGTGTTTTCATAAAAAAAAAATTATTTTATACATCTTCCAATGTATTACTAAACAGTAAAATACATTCCAATATCGTGGAGTGATCATGAGTTATGGAAATTTTATTCACTGATTAAAACTATCCAATTTATCGAATAAAGTCGTCGCTTAAAAAAATCGTTTAAAAAAGTCGCTTAAAAAATCATTTAAAAAAGTCGTTTAAAAATTGTTAATCTATTAATTAATAAATATCATAAATAATATCATTATCATGTACTTTAATTAAAAAATAATTCAGTTGCATATCTATGTGTTACTTAATTACTTCTTAAACACTCGTGTACTTAAGAAATGCAAATAAAATCTGAGAAGACGTAATGTGCCGATCTTTGCAATGCGAATGTATTTGTTCCATGGCGGAATAGGCAGCAAGTTCACGAGTATTCATTTTACAGTAACTCGTGACGTAAAATTCAAAGGGTCGATCATTTTAATATACTTAAGTGGAGTGATAAGAATTACTGCGATCTGATGCCGTTTAGTGATATAGATGGCAGTTGACAAAATGACGGCGTCGGAAAAAGTAGCATACAGAATAATGGGTGACATTCGTGCGGTATTGTCACCGCTTCTAACAATCGGTTTTATTTTTGGCATAAGAATTGTCGAATTTTCCGCGAATCAAACGAGACTGTGGTACGGTGTTTTGTACATATTGATATTGTGGTCGCTTTACTATAGTCTAGTGTGGTATACTCTAATAGACTACATACAAACTAATTCTCTCGCTTATCAAACATACTTTTGGGCAAAGGTCTCTACAGCGTCATTGTCGGTTTTTCTTGGAATGTATCACAATAAGGTAAAGCAATACCAAGATATTCGCTTGTTGATAACGAGTAATTCTTCTTGTATTTCCGTAGTTACGATCTTTGATAAATACTTGCTTGATTCTTAACACATTGATTGCGACGGAGATCACCAATGACCAATACTGTAATATTATCGCGTCTCATTAATTTACATACAAAAAATTTAGCTAATATAACAATTTAAATATATGACCCAAGAGCTAATAAAACGAGTTAGCAAATAAATGCGTCATAATTCGCATTTGTTAACTGTAAATAATTTCTTTGATAATTCAAACTTTAATCATTGAAATTATTAATAAATCATCGCAACAGTCAACGTGTTAAGTTACATTTTTTTACGATATTTATCTACAATCTTGTGCCCGAATTGTATTGCATAAACTCGTAAACTTGTGTCAGAAATTTAGAAGCTGTCTGAGGAGGCTCTTTATTGTCGACGACACTTTAAAAAAACTCGGAACAATGATAGATTACCACAAATTATACACGAGGGTATTATGGATCGTTCTTGGATGGATTGTGTTCAGCTTATGGACAACCTACAGCACTTCTTTATGGCACGGGATTCAGTGCAACATTATAAAAACCTTCTACAGAAGTTTTATGCTTGAATATTGTTCTTATGTTAATCTCCTTGATGATTTGATTATTCTTAGTACTCTTGGGTAAGTATATCTTGTGATACATCTTATGTTAGAATTGGCCGCGACTCGTCACGTTATTTTCCGGATCGCCAGATCATTGTTATGTTACTATTGTATATATATATATATATATATATATACATATATATATATATATATATATATATATATATATATATATATATATATATAT